GCGCTCTTCCGGCTGGTGGTTCCGGAAGTGGTGGCCTCGCCCGACCCAGAACCGTCGAGAATGGCCTCGAGAGAAGTCTCCTTCTTCTTCCCCTCCGCGAGCTGGGCGGCGATGGCGGTGAGCTTGCTGACCGCAGTCTTTATAGGGTCGCCGTCCTGAACTTCCGGAGCGTCGGGCTCGTCCTCGGGGTCCTCGTCGTCCAACTCGTCGTCGACGAGTCTGGTCTGCCTCGCAAACTTGGCCCTTGCAGTCGCCTTCGGCTCGTCGGTCATGGGTGCCGCCTGCCCCCGAAGAAACTTTCCCATCTCCTCTATATGCTTGATATCTATCCCGGAATCCAAAGCAGCTTTCACTACCCCTGGGTCCATGCCCTCGAGGTTTGCATTCGCTGGCTTCTGAGGCTTTGACTTCGGGCGAGCTGGGGCAGGAGCCGGTGGGCCCGAAGCATCCGCAGCCTGGGTCGACACTAACTTTTTGAGGTCCGCCTGGATCGAGAGGAAGCATCCTTCGAGCCGCTCCAGCCGGCTCTCCACGTCACGGCTCCTTTGTGCTCCGGAGCCCGTAGGGGCGTCACCGCCGGCACTCTGGGCAGTGAGGAACTCAAAAGTGCTCTGGGCCAGATCAGCAAGGGCCCCGGCGTGAGGAAGCAGTTCAGGCTGCTCGGCGGTGCCGAAGCTGTAGGCGACGTCGATGTCAGTCTCGAAATCCCGGACGAAGTCGAAAGCAGCCTCGCCCTCGACAGTGAGGATGCCGATGCACACCCGGAGCTCAGAGTCGAGAGCTTGCCTACGGTCGGCCAGGCTCGCACAGCTGGCTCGCACGGCTGAAACCTTGCGGACGAGGTCGAGGCCTATGACCCGCTTAGCAGCGGCTCTATTCCAGCACTTCCCAGGAAAGGCAACAATGATGGACCCTTCGGAACTCTCGCCAATGGCGCAAGTCGCCACAAACTTTCGGTCGGCGCCCTCTCCAACTGCAAGCACTCCCAAAGGATACTCAAAATCAATGTTCTCTCCCCTCACAATCAAGCTCTCCCGGATGTCCTCGGCCTCGCCTTCCTCCTCGTCTCCGGCCTCTGCCTCGTCCTCGGCTTCAACCGAGGCAAGGCCCTCAGCGTCCGGCATCTGGCCAACTCAAGTTGGCCCTTGCAACAGCCCGCCTTGCTTCCCAGTTCGTTGCGAACCCAATGAAAATGGCCTGCCCTGGATCCCCACGGCGGGCAAAGTGCGCCCGCAAATCACTAAGACGAGAGAAGACCCTCACAGGATCGAAACGAACTCC